TGATTTTACACCAGAAAATAGCAAAAATAATTATGTGGAGTAAACTCCACTGATATATTCCTTAATACTGTCTGAAAGAAATATTGTCTGGAAGAAATATTTAGAGAAACAAAATATATTTTTATTTTGAAATGATTTAAGTTCAATATTAAACTTAAATCATTTCAAAATAAAAAGACATTAGATAATAAGACTCTGACCCTGATATAAATTACAATAAATAACTGAAATTTCAACCCAATATTTTATGATCCAGAGTTGGAAGACCTTATTAAATGTTTGAATATTTTCTCGTTTTCAATTTTGCACTTAAACATAAACAGCTCACAAAAAATGTAGAAAAAAATATTTATTAAACATTCAAACAGTTATTGTATAAAAACTGTTTGACACGGTCGTTCAGACTTACTAAATAAGTGGAAAGTTATTATACGCAAGCGCAGTAAAGTTTGCATATTTTAAAAGTTTTAAAAATGGCTACGGATAACGAATATAAAAAAAATTCTCATTGACAACGAGCTATTTTTCTAATTTTTAGCAATTAAATATGGATTTAGCCGTTTATTAAAAGGAAATTATAATAAAAGTAACTTCTAGTACACGATAAAATGTTTCAAATAAAATATAAAACCTCTAAAAACGAATAAAATGTAATTACAGCAATAGCTTTTTTAGTGTGTTTTGTTTATCGTTTTCAAATTGTTTTTAAAAAAATTTTGAGCGTAGAAATTTTTAAATTTTAACTTTTTCAGATAGATGAACTGTTGATCTTTCTTAGAATGTTTACTGATATTAGTATTCAATTTTTTTTTATATATATATATATAGTATAACAAGAAATGACTTTTAAAGATATATGTGTGTATATATATATATATATATATATTATATATATATATATATATATATATATATATATATGTTTATATATATATATGTATATATATATATATGTATATATATATGTATATATATATATATATATATATATATATATGTATATATATATATATATGTATATATATATATATATATATATATATATATATATATATATATATATACATATATACATATATATATATATATATATATATATATATATATATATATATATATATATATATATATATATATATATATATATATATAAAAGATATGTTAGTGTATTTTAAAAATAGAGCGCTATAACAAAATTAGATGACAAAATCAGATGTACTTTTGCTAATTTATTAGAATTAACAAAAACACATCTAATTTTATAAATGAAATATATGCATGAATGCAATATAGTTATTTGCAGTTATTGTGGTTAAAAAGTCAATGGAGAGATAAACAAATAAAAAACAAAACAAATTTCTACATTCTATAAATAAATAGTTTAAACACTCCTAGTCATAACTAAAGAATATATATATATATATATATATATATATATATATATATATATATATATATATATATATATATATATATATGTATACATATATATTTATAAATTTCAATATGTATGTATATATATATATATATATATATATATATATATATATATATATATATATATATATATATATATATATATATAAAAGATATGTTAGTGTATTTTAAAAATAGAGTGCTATAACAGAGACAAAATTAGATGTACTTTTGCTAATTTATTAGAATTAACAAAAACACATCTAATTTTATGAATGAAATATATGCATGAATGCAATATAGTTATTTGCAGTTATTGTGGTTAAAAAGTCAATGGAGAGATAAACAAATAAAAAACAAAACAAATTTCTACATTCTATAAATAAATAGTTTAAACACTCCTAGTCATAACTAAAGAATATATATATATATATATATATATATATATATATATATATATATATATATATATATGTATACATATATATTTATAAATTTCAATACGTATGTATGTTAGACCCATGGAAGTCGGCCTAACATACAATTTATAATATATTTACTTTTTGTTTTTGTTAAAATCATTTCATATTTTAATACATTCGAATTTTAAAAGTTTTTTCCATTTCTAACTATTTATTGCTAAAATAATTAATAAAATACCTTATAATATTTTTTTAGTATTTAAATGAGCAAAGTTTGATCAAATCGATGGGGCTGTTAATTTTATATGGTCATAACTTTTAGGCACAATAATACAAATAAATTAAATTGAAAAACTGAAGGTTTATTTAGTATTAGATAGAGAAACTAAGCATTTTATCAAGTCATTGTCATCATGTTTTGGCAGAGGCAGTTAGCTTGTAGGGCAATTTTTGTTAACAATTCATGAAATTTTTTGCAAAACATTTAGAATTGACCAAAGCATGACCATAATTAAATTTAGTTAAAAAAAAAAAAATTTTAATGTATCTTGAAATTTCTAAGACAACTTCATGTTATTAGAGTAATAACATTCTAATAATGTTATTACTCAAGATTGTGAAAATTTATAATGATATGACCTTGAGCTAATTTCATTATAAAC